AGAGAGTGAATGGTATAACAGATGTCTTTCTTTGAAGAAAAGAGGATAAATAATTCCTGTTTTTCATCCTTATGGTAGCCGATTGCTAGTAGAAATATAGTAGATTGAGATTTTCTATTGTAAGACTTTTCTTTAAAGCTGTGTATGTCTTTTCCTCAATCCAGAAATGTATTGGAGGTTGAAATATTTGGGGCACCATAACAATAAGATATTTTTTGTGTGAAGGTGTGCCCCCAGCCATGACCGGAGACTGCCACTATGATGGTGATAATGTTGATCCACAACTGCCACCAAGAAATCCCCCCAAACTGTCCACATTTGCCTATGAGCCACATGATGAAAACCATTATGCTGCAGGTTCAATCAGAACCAGTGATCCATTTGCCAATGCTCATTTCAAAGAAGATGATGATGACCCAAAATTTGGTAAGTTGTATTAACAGGAGGCAAAGTTGAATGAACTACCCAAGTTTATTCAAAATTACTCAGGTTTTTTTAAAACAAATTTTTTTTAAACAGACCTAATCAAAAAGATATAAAAGTATAGACCCATTACATACAATGATAGCTGCAGAAAAAAAAAACATAGCATCCTACCCAGAGGATGTAATCAGAATATACACAGACATGTTTGCTTTCAAAAGAGCCTTACATGCAGGCTTATGGCATATGAACAGAGTACCCGGACTGTTCATGTGACAAACTCTGCAACCCCCCTGGAGCAATCTGCAGTAGCTATGAAGCAGAAGCAACTGCTATTGAAGCAGTGCTACACCACATATTTGTAATCTTCACAATTTATGCAGATTATCAGCGATATCACACAAAAAAGATTAATAAAAATGGATGGGCTCAATATGAAGATGTGTTTTCACATACATGCCCAGCCCAGATTCTAAAGATCCAATACATTGCCTCAAAGACACGAACCAGTGCACAGGACACAACTTAATTCCCATCTCAACTGTATAAAACCAGATAAAACACCAATGTACCCCCTCTGCAGACATCCAAATGAGACAGTAGCACATCGCCTCTTCCACCAATCAGCACTTTAGGACTTCAACTATCTACCAATAATATGAGACTACACCAACATCCTATGTACAAACACAGAACAGCTGCAAAGAATTTGTGTAAACTTCACCATGGCTGGAGGCTGACTGGCACATGCCCAAAAGGCCGCTGGATCTGAATGATGATAACTTTGATAGTAAAGTCATTATATCAGAAATATCTTTCAGATCCAGTGGCCATTTGGGAATGTGACCAAAGTATGAATTTCATGAATCAACACATTCAAATGAAGTATCTACCCTGGACACATAAAATAAAATTTGGTCCACATATTTAATTTTTTATTTGTTCTACTCCCTTTGTGTTTCATATTTTAGTGAATTATTATAAATGGGATTACCTAGTAGGTAAGGTAGTTACAATGTAATTTTATGTTTGTGTTATCCAAAAGCTTAGCTTAACCTCATTAGCAACTATGATAAAACTTTGTAATGTTCCACAGACCTTCCTTACATAGCTCCAGGACTAAAGGGCTCCCTACCTAAACCAAGTAAGTTATGAAATAGCTCTTAAAATATATCTTTAAAAAATTCATTTAAGATAAATTAAATTCTTTTGTTAAAAAAACAGCTTTATCTTCAACTAATTCACCACCCACATTCCACAAAGTTAATTGTAAAAAGTTTGACTTACTTTTTGTGTTATTTGGCAGATCTCTTGAACACACAAGAAAGCATCTATGACAATCAGCCATCAAACAGGTCTTCTGGAACATCCTTAAGCAGTGAGTATGACTCCCCCAGATCATCTGCGCGATTGCAACCACCTGCCGTGGCCTCTAAACCAAAGGCCAGCAACCCTGAGTGTTTTCAAAATGCTGCCTTTGATGAAGGTGATAAGAACAGTGACTTGCCCTTGCCGCTATTGGAACCAGTGGAGGAATGGGCTGCGCATGATTTGGCAGAAAACCCTGACAGCTATGCTCAAAGCACAGGTGAACAATCAGTTCCTAACCACGGTCTGTACCTGGAGAACCATGGCTTCTCATTTACGTAATGAGATCTCAATCAATTTTTTTGCTATTGGTGGATAGCCCCACAGTAAAGATTTTTGAATAAGGCCCAGTAACCGTGAGATTTTTTGGGTGGACTTACATTAAACAATTTCTCAACGACACCATTATAGAAATAAACCAAAAATAAAAGAAATAAAAGGAGAAAAAAAACAGACAAAAGACATGAGAACCTAAGTTACAGCTCATCAAGACATGTTAGATCAGCAGTTCTCAATCTGTGGGTCACAAACCCTTTGGGGGGTCAAACGACCCTTACACAGGGGTCGCCTAAGACCATTGGAAAGCACATATTTATGAAGTAGCAGCGGAAACAAATTTTATGGTTGGATTGGGTGGTCATCACAACATGAGGAACTTTATTAAAGGGTAGCAGCATTAGGAAGGTTAAGAACCACTGTGTTAGATGGTACTGTTTTGAGGAAGTAGAAATAGTAAACAAATCAGACATGATTTCTGGAGCCACTAAAAGCAAGGATAGTGGATGTATGGGGACATTCTTTGCTGATGATTGTCCTTCACATTCAAAGATGACTAAGGTTAAATTCAAAGCTTAAAATAGAGTAGTATTTCCAACTATGTGGAGGAGTTGCAGTTGTTGAAAGGGAATTGCAACGCTTTGATTCTCAAATAACTCAAAGTTACTTTATTTGATATCTCAAACATGTTCTGCTTCATTGCATAGAGTTGGGTCTCCCAAACTATTTTCCCCCATTTCATATAAAAAATACATTTTTGTTTTTAACATCAAAATTGAATTTCAAAGTGGAGGTTGTGCAAACAGTCTACAAACATAAATACCATCCTGATGGGCATGAACCATACTGCCAGAAAACAACAATTTCAGGTCAAGTTATCTTACAGTCTTCAGTACAACAATTTCAGGTCAAGTTATCTTACAGTCTTCAGTACAACAATTTCAGGTCAAGTTATCTTACAGTCTTCAGTACAACAATTTCAGGTCAAGTTATCTTACAGTCTTCAGTACCATAGTAGCAGTTACAAACTTTTAAATAATTTGAAAAATTAAAGTATTTTTTTCTAAATTGAAAATGTAGCTTTTTAAACTATCTCCATAACTGGGTGTTTATTAGTTTACATTTCAAACCTTAACATTTCTTGTTCCACTATTTCCTTCGCATTGCTTGAATGCAGTCTCTCAAATATTATATAGTATGATATACAATATGTAATCTGGTTATAACATTTATTGCATGATGGTGATATTTAATATTACTTAAAATTCTGAATCTCACAACAGAGTATCTTTACTCCTTTACTTTTGTCTTGGATTTTTAAAATTGCTTTAAATAAGCTTGATCCTTCCGAATGAAATGTTCAATGACTTTATAAAATATTGTTATAACTATCAGTGCTTTTTTCTCTCCAAATATCATACAATGATTTATATTTACATTTCAATGGCCTTGATAGCAACTAATTTTTTAAATTCCATGCTTCTATGTCAAAATGGCTGCTATCCTCCGACTTCAGTTTTGTAATTTGTGATTATGTTCTACCTAAATATACTTGCCCTGTTATTCCTAAGACCATTCCTCCATTTATACTGCTTTTATCATTTGAAAATACTAATACTAATAACATATTTAAAAATATTGTTTTAACAAGATTTTATTTTCAAGTCTTAACTCAAGTACTTTGTAATTGTATATTGTTGTAAATTTGACACCTTTTGTAGGAAGGTGGTTTATTTTTTTCAATAATAGATTAGATATATTTAAAGAAAGGGCACACAATAGATACAACAGAAGCAAAAAATGGCAAGTTACTAAAATTTGATGATATCCAATGAATTTTCTTGAGGATTTATGCTCAACAATCAGCAAATTTGTGTCTTTTAACTTTGTTTGTGAAAGGGAACTGTTTGTAAATTGTGCATAACATTAAATAATTCTTCCCATTGTCTTATTCTATTACAAGCTGTGACATTTTTTACAAATATGAATGTAAATCTTGTCTGTTGGTGAAGACTCTGTTTTTTTTTCTTTTAAATAAATTGTTTTGCCCTTGTAAAATACAATTGGAGCTAAACATCCTTATGGTTGAAATGGCTAGAAAGACTTTGACATTGTATGCTGGTAATATAGTTTTTGTAGTGTTGCGTTTGTTTTAAATGTGGTAAATTATAGATTTTTTTCTCTTGTACCGCGCTTCGAGCCTTTGGGGATGAAGCGTGTTTTTGAAATTCACTTTATTATTATTATTATAAATAGTTTGTTTTTATAGTTTTTTTGTTGTTGTATATTTTGAGTCCCTATATTATGGCATTAAAAGATGCTCTAAGGAACACATTGAAAGAATGTATAAAATTCAATTGATTTCCTTACATTCTTGACAGAAAAAAAATAATGTGTGCCTTAACCCTTTGAAATGATATGCAAATAGTTTGGTCACAGAGGAATAAAAATATTTTGATAGGAAAAATTTGATGCTTTTATGTTTGTTTTTTCTCTTTTCATTTGAGCACAAACAAAGGCATAATATATATAACTGTTGTGGTTTCCAAGGTTAACTGATAACTACAATGTTTGCTACCGGTACCGAAGAGACATTTGATATTAAAATCTGATGGCAACTGGTACCCAAGAGACATTTGATATTAAAATCTGATGGCTTCACATGTATATATTTTAAAAAACTTAATGTTCTCTGTGCTAAAAATTATTAATTACCGCATTTCTTTTTTGATACAGTACCAGATTTCACATGTTGAGCATTGTGAAACTTTTTATGATGTTGATTATTTTGTACATGGAAATTTTTCATCTAATCCAAGCATATTTGAATTATAATTTTTAAAATGCTGAGAATAAAATGGATGCCCAAGAACTTTCACATGTTGCGTGATTATCTATCTGCTATATGTCCCAGGTGTGCAGAAATAGTTGAGTTATAATGAACTGTAAAAATATAACCCATGAATAAATCTTTTAAAAATTGTTTAAAAATCAGTTTAATGAATGATGCAATCATTTCAAACACAGAATTTCAAGCATATCAATCAATTGTTAGTCTGCTGAACCTTAACTAATAAATTTTATTTGTATCTTAAAATAAACTAGAAATACATTTAAAGACTTATAAAGGTTTAAACAGTATTTGTGGCAAACTAACGTTTTTATATTTATCTTAAAAAAAATTCAAACACAAAAAAATCTTATATCATAGTTATTTTTGAAGAGATAGTACATAAAAAAACTTTAACTTGGTCTGCCATTGATCCTGAAAAAATTGAACCCAACTTAACGAAGCACACAAGTACAAGATTATCTTCAACATCAGAAGCAACTGTTAATTATTCATCACATTTAGAGTAATTTCACAGCTGCTTTCGTATGAGGTGGATCAGATCTAAGCTAAAAAAAATAAAAGGCAGCATTTGACATACTCCGCCCCTTAATGCTGTCAGCTGTTTATTTTCATCTTTATAATCAAATAGCAGCAAACAAATTTATCTATACAGAAACAAATATATACATGTTGTGTGCCAATCATTTCATATATTTATCTTCTTGTTCAGCTAATATTTTTGCCGAAGATTTGGCATCATGAAATAGGCCAGCAACTTCGTCCACTTCCTCCTTGGTCACAGAGTCTTTACCATTGATTCGAGACATAACATTAGCAGGTGTCAACATCTGTACAGCGTACCTAAAAGAAAAAGTATATTATTGTCCCAGTTATAAATTCTGTAGCACAAGAATCTAAAAAATATTCTTTGGGATTGTCTAACCCCAAACTATGAGGATTTGACCAAAACATCTATTTGCTTTTGGTCCTGCTTATAATAATCTGCATTTAATATGGTGGCAAAGGTAGACTACTTAGTTTAAGTGTAATGATAAACAAGTGCCCTTACCTGAGTGTTGATTTAACACCTAAGGCTGCTAACATTTTCAAAGCCTCATCGTCAATCTGGATTCCCTCGATCTGTGCTCGGATTTTTAAAATCTGCCAAGACCAATGTTTAGATTTTATAAATAAAAGTTCAAAAATACTAAAGACAATTAAATGTTGCTTTGTTTCTTGGTTAAGAATATTTTTTAAAAATTGTAAATAACTTCCTGTGAATATAGAAACTAACGATAACAAAGCTGTAGAAATAAAATAAAAGTTTCAAACGTTTTTTTAAAAATTAAATCTATGAACATAGAAAATACTACTGAAATTATTTTTTTAATGACAGAGGGATGTAAATGTATAAATAAAAACTTTATCTGAGCAGTAGAAGTCAAAGTAAGAAGGATGACAATACCTGCATCATTTCTTCTTGTGAGTATGGGAGTGTCCTGACAATCATTATTCTATCTAGCAAATCCAGAGGCATCCCATGAGGTGCAATAATATCCTCTGTTCCTCTGTGGACATTATATTACACATTAATCATTTAAGATTACATTAAAATGACATGCAATTTACTGAGCACCAGTGTATACGACAAGCCTGAGGAAAAATCCTCAAAATCAAATGGTAGGACAGGTTCCCAGACACTGGGGTACTTGCACACGCAGGTCTCCCCAGCATCTTTACCATTTTAATATAGTCCCAGCATGTGCGAATGTCAGACGACCGCCTGCCCAAAAGAATATTCTATGGTGAGCTCAAGCATGGAAGGTGGTTTTCTGGTGGGCAGAAGAAACACTTTAATTAAAGACAACCTTAAAACCTCACTGAAAGCGTTTGATATAAACTTGGACCCATGGCAAGAATCTGAAAGGATCGCACAAAGTGATGTTCTTCACATAAAAGTTTTGCCAGAAAACCCTGGTTTAACACCAGCACCTGCAGATGTGACATAATCCCCTGCACAGGAACATTTCATGCCAGAACCAGTCTCATCTGCCAACTGAGCATCCACAGCTAGGTTCAGAAATAGCATAAATATGATGAATAAGGTGGTCATGGTCAATTTCGACTATATATATATATATATATATAGTTCAATATATATTAGCTCAATTTTTTTCCAACAAAAATCATTCACACACAAAAAAATATTAATGCAGATATCGATTTCCAATGTAGCTTGAATAGGCTACATATTTATATTTTGTTTTCAAAGACCTGAACAGGTATAGGAATGGCTTGCCATTTATAATCGATTAACAATAAAAAATTGATTTCCACAATGCACATCATAATCCTTGGAAGCACTTTCTAAAAGAGTTCTGGGTTAATTTTCAAACATCATATTTCACATTGAAAAGGGCAATAAACTCCTAAGACGATACATAAAAGTAATATCTAAAATAAACAAGATCAACTGGATGTAATAAATGTGCTCACTTAATGACACACTTGCCCCTGTTGGTGGCAAAGATAACAATGGGTGCTATTGTTGACTCCAGTGCTCGATGCAGGTAGGTGAAGCACTCAATGTCAAGCATGTGAACTTCATCAATAAATAAAACACCAGGCACAAGCTCAGCAATGCCTTGGTCAATGTACTTGTTGACCACTTTGTTAATTTCTTTGCGCAATTTATCTGCAAGGCAAAGAATTTTTTTAAAAATTTAAATGTCAATGAATTAATTATTAGACAAATACTTTAAGATTTTTGTTTAATGAAGTATATAAAAATTAAATGGAAAGGTATGATCACATTCAACAGTAAATAAAAATTCATCAAAAATTTTTTTATACAGTAGAGTAATGCTTTAAGTTAAGTTTCTGAAATATAGTCAAATAAATTAAATGATTAATAAATTTATAAGAAGAAACCTAGTCAACATAAGGTATCCAACAGGTAAGATTGACAATATTTACCTGTGATTTCTGTTTTCTTTGGCTTCATCAGCTGTCCCATCATTGACATAATATCTTGACCACCCTGTTACAAGGCAAAAACTCGACTGAAGATTATCTTTTATTCAAACACCATGAAAATTTATTCAGATTAAATATTACTTAGATCACCCGGAGATTAATCAATACCCCCCTCAACTTTTACATTTAATTAGTGCAATTGGAAAATATAGCAAGCCAGAAGGGGAAAGGAGAATTACTTTATGACCTATACTGACCTGTGGTCTGGCATTAGCAATATCAAGGTCATGCAGAGTGACATCTTGTATGACCTCTTTTTTCTTATGCACATCTCCTTTAGGTAGGGGCACATACTCTTCTGCTTCTAAATCATATTCGGTGGCATAGTTATCTGACCTGCCCTGCCTCTATTAGAAGATCAAGGGTTTTAAAATATGTCAAGAGAATGTGCGTCAAAGTTTTAATGTTTGCAGCAAAGTCAGTTTTCAAAATCTTTACACACAAGAAAATTTCTTAAAGTTCTTGTATCATACAAAGCTTCACATATTCTGAGCAGTGTCCTGGACTTTTTGGTTAACCCTTTACAGTCCGATGCGCCCGAAATGCGCCGATTTTTTCCTTAACCCATTTAATACGTTTCGCCGCAGTGTGCGTCACCGCGATTTCGGCAGAGTACGTTTAGCCACTCTCTGCGTCACCACTGGTTTGTTTCATTTTATTAGTATTCCAACTTTTCCATTCAACTATTTTATAATATAGCTTATCAATTTTTTATTCAGAAGAGTTCCACTTCCTTTGTGTTGAATTTTAAACCGAATAACCCACGTTTAGTGTATTTTGTGCTCGTTTTTTCCACTTAAAAATTTGTAAACAAAACACAGCTGATTGAAATGGCTGCATCGAATAACAGTGCTAGTTCTAATCGACAAGGATTTCGATCTATGACTGCCGATGAGGCAAGTAAATTGATTTGCTTAGACGATTCAAGTTCAAATGAAGATAAATCTGACAACAGTGATAGTGATAGTGATAGTCTAATGATGCTCAGCACATTGTTGATTATCATGAAAGGGACCGATCTTGTGCATATTGCTCAACTGCAATAAAGCGAGTACGCACACATTTCTATTGTACTGGGTGTGAATCCAAACCCCATCTCCATCCTAAAGGATGCTTCAAGGCCTTTCATTTAAAATAATAACTTCATTTGTGTATATATTTAGTAAATATGTGAAATATGTGTAAATATTTGAGTATAACTATTTTTATTGTTGAATTTTTGAAAAAAAAATTTTAACACGTGTCTTCGGAAAGAAATTCATAACTTTACAATTTCTGGAGCTACTGCAATGAAACTTTCCAGTTGTTTTGGATGTATCACAAGACTCATTTTAAAAAAAATATGAACTTGATTGGATTATTGTTATCTGATTTCTGAGCTGGTGAGTAAAGCAAAACCAAATAAATTTTAAATAATTTTTTACATAAACCTGCAATAATACCCCCAAAAATTTTCTTTGGGTATTTCTTTATCACTTTTTTATACTAGAAACATATTCCTTTTTCAATTACCTACATTTGGATATGCAGCATGATATAATTTTGATAAATAACAAAACAGAGCTTTTCAGTTTAAAATCATCAGGTCAAATAGAATTTTTGTCCCAAAATTTTACTGCGTTCCCTTAAAAAAATGTGACGTATTGAATGGGTTAAGCCTACAGTCCGATGCGGCCGAACCCGCCCGTTTCGAGGTGTTTACTTTCGTTCTTAGCACAGCGGAAATCCATTGCACATTACTATTTATAGTTCTACCGGAAGAAAGCCTCGTTGTCTGCATTTATTTCGATACTAGTTTGACCGCGGTGTGTTTAGGGGCTGATTTTCTATGATTTTTTTAAAAGTCGCGATTTTTTCGCTGTAAAAAATGGCTATCTAAGCCTTGGATACACTTTTGAAAGAACTTAGGCCTAATGAAGCTTCACTATTTCATGAGTGGGAGGGTCTCTGAAACTATTTTTAGGTTTAACTTTTGCTTTAATCATTTCTTTGTATTTAGGTAGTTTTTATTTTATTTTGTTGCTTCTAGTTTATTTTCTGTAAATTAATTAGATAAAGAACCTTCATTTAAAATGGAGTTATGTCCCTTTGCTTGGGCGCTGGGAGTAGACAAGGCTGAATAGGTTTGGACTGTAAAGGGTTAATAAATAATATCAAATAGATATGCTTGCTTTAATAATTATATTTATTTTATTTTAGTTAACTCCAAGTCTAAGATGCAAGTGAACATACACTCAAGTTAGCATAATCACACCAGTAGAAGGTGCTCAGATGCACACTTGGGTTTGGCAAATATCAATACCTAAACAATTGATACCTGAAAATATCACATAGTGAAGTTCTAATATTTAACTACACTTTGAGCAACTGTCACAAATAGGATAACAGGATGTAGCCAGGGTTTGTACATGCCTAATTAATCTAGCCGTGAATATGTTCCCAGCAATACAGAGAGTTCAACAAACCTTAACAGCCCCACTGTTTGCTTCAATATATATGACATCCCCAACCTCCACTTTTTCTTTCTGTAAACTTTCATATATTGAGGGATCAAGCTTCAGTTGTTTGGTTCCTTTGGCTGTCTTCAAACCAATGACAACATGGCTAACAGTCTTGCCATATCCTGACAGCATACAATTAACAGAAATATTAATATATAACATTCACATAAAAGGTATTTCCAAATTAATAAAAACAAAGTTTAATTTAGTAGTTGGACTTTTGCTGTAAGTACATATTGTGCGGCTGTTAGATGTGTATTATGTAAATAATGGGAGGTAAATTAAAATATCTATACCATAAATTATGATAAACAAGATTTTTTTTTAAAACTAACCTCCCATAGGATTTTCAGTTTCTGCTGGAGTCAGCTCTGTTACCTCTCCTTCATATACTTCTTTGGTTTCTTTGATACGAAGTCCAATAGCTCTGCGAAAATTCTCCATCAAAACCTCTGTCTTTTTAATTTCTGATGAGTAAACTTCACTGCCAACCATAGGACAAAAGGGAACCTTTGAACCTAGTTCTTGAGCAATAGCCAAAGCAATGGCAGTCTGAAATGTAAAATAAGTATTGACACACAGATTTCCTATTAAAAGAGCTCTTATGAAAAAAATAAACCAAAGGTTTAAAGTTTGAATCCAAAAGCAAATCCTTAAAACCAATCATTGTTAGCTTAACTATCAGCAAAAGCAAATCCTTATTGTTAGCTCAACTATCAGTAAAAGCAAATCCTTAAAACCAATCATTGTTAGCTTAACTATCAGTAAAAGCAAAGACTGAAAACAATAGAAATACCTTTCCAGTCCCTGGGGGGCCAGCTAATAATACAGCTCTGCCTGCCATCTTTTTTGATCTGATCAACTCTACAACAACTCCTGCTGCCTACATTGCAAATTTAAAATAGATGAAATGAAAGTTTTAGAGAAATTGTTTATTTCGTAATAACTCATAATATTAATATACTATATAATATATATTAAAGACCCAAAATAAATCAAACAAGACTGAAAAGACTCATACATTTCACAGAGTAAATAATTATTACTAGTCCTCAAAGTGGATAATTATGTATAGCAGGGAAAGGACCATTACAAAAACATGCAATATTATAGGTTAAAAAATTATAATAATTCTACATTCATTTATTTGGTCATCTGAAAAATGTTCTACCTACAATCTTACTTAGAAGACCTAAGTTGGAAAATGACAAATGAAAAAAATGCTTTGACTTTGAGTAGGTTACTCTTTGAATTTTATGAGGATATATCTGAGTGAAAAAGGCATGGGCATTGGATGGGGGGGAATACACAAAAACTAAAATTATGACTCTTTTGTTTGTGTTGTGTAAGATCATACTGTACTTGCAGAGACAGTGAAAATAGTAGAGTAAATTTTGAGAGTTCAAAATGAGGTGTCATTTATAATTAGGCCTACCCATTTAGTTATACTGACTCAAACGAATTGATAATACGAAATAATATGAAATGTGCAAACGGCAATCCTCCGAAGTCCGGTCCCAAATTATTTCGTATGAAAAAAATTGCAATGCAGTGTCTATTGTTAGAAAACAGCAGAAATGTCAGTCATATCTTTTGCGAATAACTGTCACTTTACAAACCAGTCAGTAAATACTAAATGTTATCATTGGCGCATAGCATTTGCAAATAGCAGCCGAAAACGTTCTGCTTGTGACTGTTGCGCCATTAAAGGCTCCAAGTAGCTGGCAAACAGACAGCAACCAGTACCACTCTGATAGCGGAGTTTACGTTTCGTTTGCACCCAAAGTCCTTCAATAATTTATGTGTGAATGTCTTGGTCTACTGGATCAACAAATTCACGCTCGTGCACAGTGACAGCGTGAGCATAAATCCCGTTGTTAAGCTGAGCGACATTTTGAAATCCTTGCCAAGCGTCCATGACGATAACTGTCCCTAGTAACATTAACGTATGATTAGTGATAAAATGCGCCAAGAGTGTTTGTGCATCTCGACAGGCGCCAACCTCCATCCAACATTGTCCACTAACGCAAACATGAATTTCAAAACAGAATGATGCCTAAGAATTTTAAGTAAGGAGTAATCATTGGAAATAATTTGGGACCGGACTCGGAGGGTTACCTGTACTGTGCAAACTAAAATCCCTACCACAGACCTGTTTACCCTCAAATTCTTAAAATCGTATAATATCATCACAAAATCGTTCAATAAATTATCTTAATAGTAAAAAAACCACAGAGTATTTATAACGTATAAACCTCAAAATCGTACATTGTACGCCAAAATCGTAAGAGTAAACAGGTCTGCTACCAGTGCCAGCACACATTATTCCTATATAGCCTATACTAAATAAATTTAATATGTATCAATTTTTGGTGATCAAATTTTTAATTGTTAACTTATAAAATCATTGTTAATATTAAGAATATGAACAACCACGAATAGTTAAATTGCTTCTAGAATAATCTCGGCTTTAAACTAAATGAACAATGACTTGTAAGGCGTCCATCGTTACCACTATCGACTATCGCTAACTACACAATGTATTTATACCTCGCGGGCCACATCTTGCCCAACAAGACCAGCTGATGATTGAACGGCATATCCATTTTCATCAAGACCTAATCCTTTGATGTGACTATGGGAAGCTATTCGTTGTGCTTTCGATGTGCTTTTAACCTCTTCTATCTTCATTTTGAGAATTTATTAGTGATAGCAAATATCGCACGCGTACGAGCGGTAACAAGTAATGATGCCCCAAATAGAAAAGTTGTCGCACTACCAGTCAATGAGAGTTAAGCATATTTCAAGCATAAAAAAATCAAATGTATTATACAATTAAGAAATTTCTTTTTAATAATATTTAATAAAATAAAATATTGATGTAATATTTGTTCATAACTAATTAAATTTAAACTTTACACTTCAGACTTTACGACTATCAAATGTAGTAATAATGCGCAAGCGCATTGATCATAACAACCGTTGTCAATACTAATGGTGGACCAACTAAAATATTCAACATGCAGAGTAATCATTTAATGAACACGGTAATTATTAACAAGAAGAGAAACATGTGTTCCAATTGGCACCCATTTATAATTTGAAGAACGTTTTATTCATTTGTTGGCCATTTGTTTACTTGTACTTCTTAGCTTACACAACCTTTGCAAATCTCAATATGTCCTGCCTTTCTAACTTTCTATTCTATCTAATTTCAACTTATTTCAAGCTTCCATATACTGATATACTTTGTTCTTCTAAGATTCTGTTTATTAAGATTTAATTGTAGGTTAACCTCTTTTTTAGCTGCTATAGTGAAGCTATAGCATGCCTAACTAATTCTTCAATACTTATTAGGGGCCTGGCGCCTAACCTAATTACAAAGAATTTCTACTGCTACTCACCTAATCCTAACCTACTCATAACTTCAGTAGTCAATATTTAATTTAATAATGCCACCAATATTTTAAAAGGGGTCTCAATCCCAATTCAAAAATACAGATTCAATATGCAATTTTTAAGCTCATTATGTTTGTAAACTTTGTACAGCAATTCCAGACTTATATATTTACTTTAGTCTTTAGGGAAGCGTTATACGCAGTCGGCTGTGCATAACCCTGAGAGTTATACGCAGTCGACTGCACATAACCCTGGGAATTTAGCCAAATAAGGTTTATTACGCTAGTTTGGCCAATTAAAAAAAAAGTATTATGCGTAATTAGCTGCATTATGGTTTGTTTTGAACTATAACTTTTAATTTGTTTAACTTAAAATTTTAATTAATATTGAGTGATAGTAATTTTATTAGTGCTATTATTAGTATTATTGCTTTTACCTTATATATTATAATTATAAGTCTAAGTAAAAGTCTAAATTTCTTAGAGTCTAAGACTAAGAAGATGATTATGCCTTAAGGCAGTGGTTTCCAAACGTTTACGTTTGGCAGACCAGTGAATAAGTTTCGAAATTTTATTAGGGACCAGTGCATGATTTATTTTTATACTTTTATTTCTATTTGACAATAAATATTTATGTTATGGGGCCCGCAGTGTTAGGCATGCAGACCGGTGAAGGACCATGGACCGCCATTTGGGGACCACTGCCTTAAGGCATTTCCATGGTTTAAGTCTAGTTCTGTACTCTGATTGATTAGGTTTGTATATGTTGCTATGACAATGTGGTTGGTTTTATTGACTAATTCAGGAAATACATTCTATTTATTTTTTAAAAATTATATCATTTATGATTTTTTTTTTGGTGACCTAAATGTAACAGTTTTCAGCTTCCATGCAAAACTATAACTGTGTGAAAGTATTACTTACAGTACCCCCTGCCCCTACAGCTATCTGCCACAAAATTAGTTAACAACACAAAATATATATTAAAAACACAAACATGTATTATGATAATTATAAGTATAAGAATAACATTATTAACATTACATTGGTCAAGTTAATTCTTATCGTGTTTTAACATTTTTTAGCCAAAACAAAAGTAAAACAATAAGCCTAGCTGGTACTGCTAACACATATTATACATTCATAACTGGCCTTTGGGTGGAATTGATCGCCAGACCACCAACTTGAAGTTTGCTCAGTTAATACCATTCGACCATCCAGTCACCCTGATAACGAAGAACCTTTATCGATCGATACTGTAACACAGGAAGTAACCGTTATAATTGTCACGTGGCCAACCGAATATAGACCTCTTGGGACTTGCCAACTGCGTATAACTCTCAAGGTTATACGCACTCTCAGGGTTATACGCAGTCGACTGTGTATAATCACTTCGTTTATTTTATACTTGTTGTCAGATTCAAATAAGATCAAATTACAGAAACTTTTAATCTTTTAATTAGCAAGAATACATCAAATTGTAATCAGTTATTCATCATAGACTATACCCGGGTTGAGCAATCTTTAAATATTTAACTAAGTGGCCAACTATACATTTTTTCACAATATTAATTGTCATAAATTTCATAATTTTATAAGAAAAAAACATTTAAATCTTATTTTAATTATTTAATTTTTTTAAATGTGCAGAACTTAGAAAAATAATTATCAATAGCAGAATTTATTTTGCTCTTCTCTTCAATTTATTTCAGGTGATATATACAAAATGAGTGAACAAGACAGTTCAGATGAAATTGAAGATCAGGAAGTAAATGAGAAGGATACTGAAAAAGAAAAGGATGAAAATTTTTATGAAAAAGAATTAGATGATTCTGAAATAAAAGATGATTTGATTGTGGTTAATAGAGTTTTGGAAGAAGACACCAATTTAGATGAAAATTTGAATAGTGATGAGGAATATGGCTTGAACACAATCAGTGATGAGGAGGATTACCAGCCAGCTATTGCAGCGCTACCTCCTAAAATCATCAAGCAGGAAGAAAATCAAGTTGAAGTTTCATCCAGTCCAGCATTCCAGTGTCTAGATGAGGTTGTTAATTTTGCAATTCAATTATTAAATATGTATCTCCTATACTTAACATATGTTATAAGCATACAAATTGTTCAAATAACAAATCAACAATAGACAAAAATGTCAACAAGATCATCGTTGATCTTACTTTCAAGGAAAATTATTCTTGCCCATTGTCCTATACAAAAAGGTTAATTTTAAGTGTCTGAAAAGAAAAGATAATCGTCATGGATAAATGAGTTAGTTTGTGTCTTTCAGTCAAAATTACTTTGAGAATAATTAAGCCTTTTTTTGTCTTTTGTGCTGTCATTATTTTTAAAATTGGAATTTATTCATCTTATTTATTATTATGTAATACTCTGAAGCAGGCCTGCACAACTCAAAATATAAGGTGGACTGTAATACTTTATGAAAAACTGGGCTGGCCAAAAAATAACTGGACGGTAGAAATCTATTAAAAAAATAATAATAATAAAAAATATTTCGTTGCTTCAAGGGTCACATAGGGGGTGCAGGCCTGCTCTAAAGAGAAGATAAAACTATATTTATCATATGTAGTATTTATAAACTCTTGCATTAGCAGATTTTGTTAAAAAAGTTATACAAAAAGCTTTGTTAAATCTGAATATAGCTTGATGTATAGATTTGAAATATTAAATTTTAGCTATGATTTTGATTTTGTTTTTCATGAAGTATTAGAACTTTTTTCTTTTCTTAATTTAAAAATAACCATCTTTCTTTTCAGCTCTTTCAAGAAGGGAAGTTAACTGGCACAAAAGTTGCATTTCTCAAAGCAAAATATACAGAACTCCATGAAATTCTGAAAAAGTAAGTTCCACTGTAAGCAACTTTTGTTTTATTTTATATTTATTCCTAACTTACTCTTATATAGCTTGTTGAATAGTGTTTGGTTGAAGTAGAGAAATGAACTTAATGCATATTGCAACAATAAATATAATTCAAAATGTATAATTTTTACTTTCAGAACCAGAGAAAGTGAGGCAAAACTCCTACAAGATGCAAAAAAAAGTGCAAATTATCTAGACAGACAGTTTGAAGAACTTGAAAAAGGGGATCATTTTCCTGAGAATTCCAATACAGAAGTTTCTAAGATGAGAGAACAATTGTTGAAACACAACAATGAACTAGCACAAGCTGAGGAGAGACAGTACCAGTTAGAATATAAAATTGAGTGGTATGTGACATGGGCTACCCTTGCCAGTGCCATCTTTACAGCAGCGGGGCCGCTGGGCAAACTAATGCAATGAGGCCTCCATCCCTCTTTATACTCAGGGCTGTGCAAAGGAAGGGGCAGCAGGGCAAATCACCCCTGGTGCCAACATCAGGGGATGCCAAAAGTGTCTTATGATAGACCCTTAATAGTGTTACATGATAAAATCCCAAGTACTTAACATAAAGAGGGGCTCCGAAATCATCTTACTAGTCTTCCCTGGGTGCTGGTTTTCCTCAGCATGGCTCTCTCAATAGCCTACTATTCAAATAATTTTTGGAAAAGCATTATGGCCCAGGTTGACCCATGCATTTTGACCAGTTTCTTTCAGTTAATCTAATCAGCAGGGGTACCATTTCAAGTGGTCAGTGAGAGGTGCAGGGCATCTGTCAGCACCAAAATTAGGCATTTTGATGCCTAGGGTCAGCTTTGACTTTGCCGTCTGTGTATAACCATAAATTCATTCTGATAGTGGAACCCCATCTTAGTTTCACCCCTGGAATCTATATAATCCAACTATGTTCTGGTTCTGGATCTGCTAGGGTACTTTGCTGAATCCATGTACTGGCATATGTGCAACGATTAGGGGTGCGATGCTGGTATTTTAATGGATGCTAGGGAAGTTTTGAAGCTCTCGATTGATGTCAAGTTTACAGCGGTATTGTCCAGGTGGTTCCAAGCAATGATTGTGCGTGGGAAAAATGATTGTTTTTATTGGACTGTATTACACCGAGGCACAGTGAAGCATTTACTATTATTCCAGATGTATTCCAAACTAAAGGAAAATCATAATGTAGTCCATTCAAAAAAAATCTTTGTAATTACTTACATCCAGCGCTTCTTTATTACTGTAATAACTACTATTTTGCATTTATTTAAAACTTAAGTAAGGTTTTTCCAAAATTTACTGTTTCAAAAAAAGAGAAAAATTCTGCATTGTAGAAAAGGTCTATAGATTTTGTATGACTATTAAAAACAGGTATTTTTAAAAATAAAATGTATCTAAATGGTATAAAAAAGAAGACAGGAAATATTTACAAAAGGTGTCATATATTTATTAATATATGACTTATCTGTGGGAAGATAAAGCAGTATGAATTTCCAAACAAAGGCTGTAACTTAAAAGGCTTATTTGAAATTTTAAACTACTATAACTTTCTTTATTTAAATGACTAAATAATGGACTTATGGCGCCTTTTGTAAGACTCTTTGATTTTCTCCTCGCCTCTAAAACTAGTAGCAAAAAATTGAATTGATGTGAAAATCGAACAATTTGTTTTAAAGAACTGGAGAAACAGCCTTCCCACTGCATTTTGAAAGCAAATTAAATTGCCAAAAAATTTCAATATTCATTAACATTATTGGCAGCATAATGCCCCCTAGAAGCAACATACACCCTAGAGGCCTGAGGCTCATGCCTTAAGATGGCACTGAGCCTTTCAGCATATTTTGTAATAGATTCTATTTTTATTTCTAAATTTAACAAATCCTGTCCTTGTGAAAAAAATATATAGTTATTAAATATTTAATCATTTAAGAAAAATATTATGATTGATTTAATAATTTTTTTATTTTCATAGTCTTGAAGAGGAGAAGAAAATTGTTCAGCGTGAATATAATAGATTACCCAAACAAGGAGTAAGTCAAACATTTGATCTCATTAAACAGTTTACTTTACTCAGTCCTTGTGATTAACATTTGTGACTGATCCATATGAAAGTAAATTAGCAACCCAGTCAGTCCGTCAACAATTATACAAAAAATGTTTAATAATATATTTTTTAAAAAAAATAGAAATAATAATTTTAAGAATTTAAACATAAAGAATATTTTGTAATTTGCTTCAGACATTAAATTTCACTTTTAAGGTAATCCAAATTTGTGAATTTTTATGGATAAGCTGATCTAAAAAAGGTAATTAGTCTCCTTCTTTTGAATAAGAATTTCTCTGTGACATTCTTTCTACATTTGATGTTATCATTTGACTTTTTATAGGAAATTGAGAAAAAAATGAAAGAGCTCCAATCTGGCAATGAAGAACTTCGAAGGGAGGTTTTGCAGCGACAGAATGATGCCAAAGACTTGAAGGAAAATCTGGACACCACAAACCATCAAATTGCGATTGACAAAAAGGAATTTGAAAAACTATCTGAAGAGTTGGAGAAACTCAAGGTGAATAGAATTTTTAAAATTGTTTTCTTTTTCTTTGTTTGCACACACAGATTCAAATAATTAAAATAAGTGAGCTGTCAATCACTGTTTTCTTTTTCATTGCTATTTATTATTCTTAAATATTACAAAATATTTATTCAAAATTTTCATTCAACTTCTTCACAAGAAGCTATAATGTTATTCTTGTTTGCTTCTTGCCTTTTAAAAATAAAATACTATCTTTTCCCAGGCAGAAATGGTGCAAGTTAACTTTGTCCCTGGACAGTTAAGTAAGGAGGCAGATAAGATACTGAGGCAGAAGAAGTGAGTCAAATTTTTAGTTCTTGCAAATCTTTGAAGAAGAAATTTTATAAGTAAACAAAAAATGATGTCAGTTTAATTGAAAGATTATGCCATTATCTATTCATGGTTGATTTTTTAGAATTAACAAAAGATAAGCCAGCATGCTGCCCTCTTAAAAGAAACAAATTATGTCTGCTTACATTCTGAACCACACAATTTTTAGTTAAGTTTTTTTTTTACTTAAAGTGGTTCCTGGTTCCTTTAAGTCTTAAGAAGTGGATAGATTTTATTTATGTTTTAAATTATTAACCACAACCTGCTCTAGAAAAGCACAATATTATGTGTAATAAAGTCATAATTTTAATTCAATTGTCATATTCTCTTGATTTTTTTTTCAAAAGAATTCTTTTAAATGTTGTTATATCTGATTTCAGTGCCATTTATGTGCAACTGGAAGAACTTAATACAGAGTACCTGGAGTATGTTGATCTCATTAAAAGTTTAGAAAGCCAAGAGAAATCTCTGAGAGATGAACACTTTGAAGCTGAAACTAAGTTAAAGAGTGAAAAGGTGTCACTGAACGAGAGAGAAAGGGAACTCAAAAATGTAGAAAAAGAGTATGAATTCGCTAAAGAACGGGAAGTGATGCTCAATGGCGACAGGTAGTGCGAAACAAATTTTAATGGTGGAAATTAGAAAAATAAGTTTAAGATGAAATATTTCATAACTATCATCACTTTATATTAATTAATTAATTACAAAGTGTAATTCACACATCTGTATTTTTGATAAATCGGTATATCTAAATAGAAGTTATAATGGTGGCATGTTTAAATTATGCTATAGTTAACTTCTAGTTAGCAATAGCAAGAAAAAGATGGTGACATGATTAAATTATATATTTTTCTTGCTTCTGCTTACAAATTTAGATTATATATAAATCAAATATTCATCAAATTTTGATTGATTCAAAGAATCCTTTCAGCAACTTTGCACCAATTTTTTTAATCTGTGTAGCATTTTGCCAACCAAAGATATAAACAGTTAAATGTGATACAAAAACCAAATTTTTTGTGGTCTGATAGTATAATAGGTTTGACAAAAGATTAAGAAGGATAACTTTGAAAAAAATACATAATGAATCAAATAGTATAATAGATTTGACAAGAGATCAAGAAGGATAACTTCGAAAAAAATACATTTAGAGTTTTAATTTTAGCTGATTGCCCTTTGCATTAAAAAAAAGAAAGCTACGTGAATTGCATTTCTGATTAATTAAGAGGTTGGGTTTAAATAAATAAAATTATTATTTTTCATATAACTTGCATTGGACCTGATTACTCATTTTGGTATTTTCAACCAACTAGAGCAAATCTTGATATGAACCTGCGTCACATTATGATGGAGAGGAAAAACCTTCATGACATACACACACGGAAGATGAAAGAAAAGGAAAGAGATATTCGAAATTTGAAAAAAGCTGAGCTGCAGCTGAAAGTGGCAGAGGAGAACCTGAGTCACACCAAGTCAATTTATGAAAAAGTCAAATCACAAGTGAGAATATTTTGTTTTTATAATTTACTATGGGTAGTTATTTCCCTCAGTCCTCTAGCTACATCAGGTAGTCTTGTTCATAGTTAAATATCACAAATCACTCCTCTAGCTAGATCAGATAGTTTTGAACAGTGCTAAATATCACAAATCTACAAAAAATTGTTCATCCCATGTCAGGATAGATAATATTTCAAAATAGCAAGTTTGGCTTTCCAGAGAATTTTACTTAGCTGAAGTTAATTTAGATTTATTAATTAAATATTTGCGGAATAATGTATGAATAATTTACAAAATTAAGATCTTAATTATTTTTTATAAATTTGCGTCATTTTTAACAAATTACAGGTCTTGAGTTTGCCAAAAGATGATGGATCTGTAGTTAAAAAGAGAGAGGAACTTCAAAAGGAAGTGGAACAAGCTAAGAGGGCATTAGCACAACAGGTACATTTTATAATGTTTTCGGATTATCAAGGTGTACATTTTCAGAACAGGGATATTAATTTAGTCAAAATTTCACTTACTGCTTTTTAACTATTTTTTAACATATATTTATTGATAAAAAAATTGTATTGAAACAATTAATTGTCAAGCTTAATTTTTTTGCTACCAATTCTATGTTTAAATTTTTTTTTTTAACTTAGCTCTAGTTACAATTTTATGTCATTCGCTACTCAGAATTCCTTGACAGCTGTTGAACATGTGAAACTTGAGGCCAGTGCACAGGAAGAGCAAAACTTACTGTTCGAACAAAGTGATCTACGGATTGAGGTTGTAGAGCTTACCAGGCTTGCAGCCATCAAGGTAGGTGGCTGAGACATTGACATGACCAGGGATGAGTTACCTTCAGATTTAATACCCCACAATCCCTTGTGAATTAAAATAGGAAAGTGTAATTGATGCACATATTTCTAAAACATATTATTTTTCTTACTTACTTCTTACTTTTGCCTTTTTATATTGTCTTCTGGTATTCTTAGCCCTTCCATCTGTGTTATGGACTCATCAAAGGATTTAAATAGCTCATTTGTCTGTTTATTCAGCATACTTTGTAAGAGTAATTTTTAAAAAAAATAATTAATGAACATAGGTAAGTTTCAGTTACAGACATGAGGAATATTTATTCATTCATGTTAATTTTTAAATTGTTTTTGTGGTCACTTTGTGTCTTCAAGGCAGATGAAAGGGAACAGAAAGCCAGAGATTTCATGAGAGCAGAGATGAAATACCACAGAGCAGTTGAGGACCTAAAAACAAAGCAGTTACAGATCCAAGACCACCAGAAGAAACATCAGGAGATGCTCATCAAGTTAGTGATTTTACTTAATATAGCATACTTCACTTTATATAGCATTTGAAACAGACTCATAAAGATTTATGTATTATTCTCCCGCACTTTTTTTTTAAAACTTGTATTTACATTTTTTTTATTTAGCACAGTGACTCATAGTAATTTTTTGTGTTAACTTTATATGATATAATTATAAAATAATTAACAAAATTTAGTAGAATAAGGAATTATAATGATAAGTTGGACCTTAGTAAAAATTGAAATACATTACAAAAAAAACCTACTTTTTAAAAAAAACTTTATTTGCTTATTGATAAATCAATGTTTGTTTTACTACCCAGACTAAAGGAATTTGCCAAACTCTATGATGTGATCAAGAATGAGCGCAACAAGTGTGTCAATTTAATCCAAACATCCACACAAAAATCAGCAGAGATGAAAGAAAAGATCAAAATTTTAAACAATGAAATTGAGATCTTACGCACAGCAGTCATGCAGAAAGACAAGTAATTAAAATTGATACACTGTAATCTCTCCAAAAATATAAACCCTGTTCTAGGCAAAAATGTGTGATCTTTTTTTTTAAATAAAATTTTAGTTCTATTTCTCCTTTCCATTATTTTCAAAATGTTACAGACTACTTACATTTGTTTAAAAAAAATAAAAAATTGCTGTGATGTGTTACAGAGATTTACAGAAGCATCGTCTCAGGAGGATGAATGCTATTGTGATGCGTGACTCGCTGCGTAATGAGCTGGCCAAGCAGCAGCGTCTGGAGGAGGAGATGAAGGAGAAGAGGGAGCAGCAGAAAGTGGACATGGCTAAGCTGAACCTTTTGATCAATCAGGGAGAAGAGCAGATGGTCAAGCTCAGGAATAGATATGAGAAAAACGTACAGCACAGGAACGATAGGTGAGATGCACAGAAGATTATGTGAGGGGTGGTTAGAGTATGATGGATGGTTTGATAGTGATGGGTTGGTTGTGATGAATGGTAAAATTGCGATGGTTTAGGTTGGAATGGATGGTAGGATTATGAAATTTTGGCTTTGATAGGTGGTTTGATAATGACTTGCATGCCTAAGAGACAAGGGTTAAAAAATAAGTAGTGGAGTTGAACTTTGAGGGATATTAATACATCCAATCGTAACATTAATTGGTATTTATAGTAAGAAAATTGTAATTTTTAACTCTAATTAGTGCAGGTAGTTAATCCTTGCCAGTGACTTCTCAACTTTAACTAAAACTTTATTTTTTTTAAACTGAAAAACTATTTGTATAAATCTTCATTAAAATGCATCAGATTTGAGTCAAAAACACAGTTTAATGTATTTAATTTAATTTCGTTAACTCATTTCAGTTGATTTCAATGTTCTTAACCTTGTTAAGAGTCAAACGTATGTTTTATATAAAAAAGCCAATGTAAATAATGAATATTAGTGGAATTTTTAAAAATGTTGCTTTTGTTTCTTTATAATAGCTGTTGTTTTTGCCCGGCTAGGTGAATAAAAGAATGCCACAAAGTTATTATTAATGTATATTTATAATTAGGTGTATTTTTTTGTCTTAGGGGTATTAAGCTGATAGAGAGAAATGAAGAGGTTTGTGTGTTCTATGAACGAGTCAACATTCAAGGTAAATATTACCTTTAAGTGGATATATCTTAAATATTTTGAAATATAAATTTTAAGAAAAAAAATGTTTTATTCTTTCTTTCTTTTGCTTTTTGAGTGAAATGACATTTTTATTTATTTTTCAGAGATCTTATTGGTTCATAAAAGCTTAAAGTAGGAAATCATATCAATGTATATATATTATATCATTTTTGTTATGTTCCTCAGATCAAATGATTCGGAATGGTGAAGTAGAGCTGAACAGTAAGGAAGAAGAAATTAGATTCTTACAGCTTCAGCTACAAGAGTTGAAAAGGTCTGGCCAATTGTTACATAGGACATTGCCAGATAAGCTAAATCAAGAGAAGGAGTTGGTTACACTTCAAATACAGGTTAGAATTCCATAGTAGAAAAAACATTGGGAAATATTGCACATTTAGAATTGTGCATATTAAAAGTATTATTTGTTGATTTTGAAATGAAATTTTTCATGGGAAATAACAGAGCTAAGAACGCACAACTTTACATTTATAATGAAAACTTGCTAACAATTTAGTTGCTGCCTTACTAAATACTGGCAAAACCTGACTTCAAAAACTGTATATATAGCCAACTTTCCTTTACAGTAGTCATTTGTCAGGATAACAATTCAATTCCCTTGGTTTTATTTTATTTTAGAACAGCCCTGATAAAATGAATAAATGTCAAAATCCATCACTTAAAGGCACTGATAAGATTATCTCCAGTGTTATATAATATTGTATCTCAATTAATACCACCAGTTGATGATTTGTAATATTCTTTCCCTGTTTGTTATGTTGGCCAACAGCTGGAACAGTGTCAGGATCGTATGTTGGAACTGGAAAGAGCTCTAGAAAACCCATATGATGAATCTCGTGTCAGATATTTAACTGGCAAAGATCCTACTCCCGGGGAAATACATGGAAAAGTGGAGGAGGTAGGCAATGGTTAGAGATTGTTAATTATAACTGACTTTTGTATTTATATTATACAGAAATTTTATATTAAAGGGATGTTGTGTTTTCTTGTACGTAATTAATTGAAATTAAGGTTTCAAAGTTAAAGACTTCTTTTTATTTAAATCTTTACACTTTAGCTGGAGTTGAGACTTGCAGAAAAAGAAGAACACCTGCTAGAAAAAGATTTAATCTTTGAACAAGTTGAACGTTTGGTTGCCAGGATCAGCAGCAAAGCTCAAGCTGGTAAAGACGACACATTAAACCTGGCCAAGAGTGTAAGTTGACTTTTGTAGAAATGATGTGCTTCGCAGAAATTTCAGTTCAAGAACAATTTTTAATGAAAATAAACTTTGGGTGGCAAAATTCAATTTTGGTTAAAATCAAGGATTTGACTTTTTTTAATAACACTCTCTTATTATAAGTATATCTTATGAAGAAATGTCCTGTAACTTTCTAAAGCTTTGCTACGTTGTTTGATATGAGTTACAAAAATGAAAGAAAGACATACCATCATAAATAGATGAAATAGGGGATGAAAAGATTATGAACAAATGTCTAATACCTGAATATGATCAATTTGCAGTTTTGAATTGATAACAAATTGTCACTTTAAATTTTATATATCACAAATAATCCATAAATGGGACTTTCAGAAAGCTCCCCAATCATTTACTGATTCAACATTTTATGTTTTTCGTCATTCAGGTCAATAATATTCAAGCTAAGATCAAAGAAATAACACGTAAAATGATGGCCATTGTGTCCGAACTGTCCATGAACCAGGCACAAGCCATGAAGCTCCAACAGGAGGTCAAGGAAAGGGAGGCCGAGCTGGAGCAGTGCTACATACGCATGGAGAAAGGAGAGGCTCCCTCACAAGAATTTGAACTGGAGTGGGAAAGGTTCATCCGAGATACAGAAAGTAAACTGGAGCAGGCTGAGGCAAGAAGGATGGTACGTTTCCAATATTTATATTTTCACATTACATATTGTTACATTCTCTTTCATGGCCCCGGCATGCACTTAGCAGGTGTGCCCCATCTGCTGGGCATCTCTGTAGATAAGAATTTCTACATTTTTGTCTGTGGTGTTCCCAACCACTTCAAATAGTAGTATTGGGGAAGTGCCTAGCAAGTGCACTGCTGTCTCCAGCGCCTGTTGGCAATGATGGCAGCTCGGGTCCCAAAGAGGATGCAACCTACCAAAGTAGCTCCCCATAGGACAGTGTTCTGTTCTCATCTGGGTGATGAGGCTCTGGTATTCACATTTTAGTTTCCATCATTGATCCCCTTTCATGTTTGGGTTCGGCACATTCTAGTAAAGTTTATGGGCCATGTCCCCTTATTCCATATTTTTAAACCAAAATTTTTAACCATTATTGCCAAAAAAAAGGTCTTTTTAAGCATGCTTTGACCCTCAACTGGGTTTGGTCATTGTTCAATTTGGTTGCTGCTGGGTAGACCCTTACTTCGCTAGCAAGTCAGCTCTTTTTTTTGGGGGTAATCCCACATGTTCAATGATCCACTGAAATACCACTCTGCCTCCACTTGACTTTAGGTCTTGTATTACATTTACAATGGCTTAATCCTTTTTGTGTTGATTGATCACCTTCTCACAGCCTTTAATGCTAGCTGCAAGTCGGTAAAAACTGGATGGAAACGCTTTTCATTTAGCAGACTTCTTCAGAGCCATAAGTATAGCTTTGATTTCTGCATTGAAATTTGTGCTATACTTACCACTCAGCCCTGAAATCTCCTCCGTTTTGAGTACTGTAGGAGTGCACCCTATTCAGTTTTGTTTGCATTAGTGAAGCAAGAGCCATCTGTGTAGACTTTAACCACAGTAACCTCGTGTGCTTCAATGATCCTCGAAGGGGCCTTTTGTTGTAAATCAAGTGGACTCACTTTTGTAACTGTCACATTTGCCAATGTCAGAAGTTTCAAAGCATTCATATTGTAACAGCTCCTGGATCAACTGCAGCTTTTCCCTGTTTCCCGGTAAAGGGTACCTACTCTCAAGTGAGTGGACTGCATCCATTAAGGAGGGTCTTTTTAGCCTTGTCCTCATTCCCCACAAATCTTGTAAATGAAAAAAATGGGCTCTGTTTTCTCCACATGTCGTCGCCATCTTTCCACCGCTATATATTTTGACATAAAAAAAATATAAAAATTCTGCCTTGCTCTGTATAAGTTTTTAACGTTAATTTCTTTGAAAATGTTCTGTCAGATGTATTAAACTGTTGCTTGCACCCTTTGAAATGTATTGATCATTAATGCTTTCTTCACCTTAATACTAACAGTAACAATTTCTTTACTTCAACTGAAAAAAGCTGTTCTTTGTGGAGATCAAGAGATATACCTTTGAGATCTGGATTTTTTAAACAGATCTGAATCTCTCATTGCATTTTTTTGTAAATAGGTTGTTAACTTTTACACTATGAGATTGCTTTTTAAATTAACTTAAGAAACAGGCAGACAAGTTGCTCAAAATCATTTTAAAATTTATCAAAAAGATAAACATTGTATATTAATTTTTTTCCTAAAACTAGATGTCAGAAGAAGAGGAGCAATATAAACTGGCTGGAGGAGTCTACACAACAGCCGAACCCAGACCCAATGCCTACATTCCTGAGGACGAAATTGAACTGCCTATTCCCCGACCCTATGGGTCCCACGCACCTTTCAAACCAACTGAGACCGGCTCATCTATGCGACACATTCGAAAACCGATCCCCAAGCCAATTGAAATATAACCCCTTTAGTGTGGTTTCAAAGCAAAATCTGTGATTGTTCTTATAAAACATTATTACCAGGGTTTACATCTAAATTAGATTTCTAAATAAATAATAATAAATTACCTTAGCCCATTTGTAAGAGAGCTCTGTTTAGCCTCATTAAAATCTGTCTCTCTTACACGAATTACATTTTGAAAATGTTCACTGGGCAAAAAGAGAGCTTGAAACTTTTGTAAGTAAAGAGAAACTCGATTTTAAAATAAAGTGTGTATATGTTTAAATTTCAATGAATGATACAATTATGGCATGAATTACTAAAGCATCATTGCTAACTTCTTATCCAAGGAATTAAATTCTAAAAGAATGATCAGTAAGTCAAGACCATTTTAATTTCCAAATCTCTTTCCATTAAAGATAAAACATTATTAGGAAAAATAAAACCAAACATTTTAGGTATTTGGTTACGGGGAAAGACTTAAATTTTAAGTTAAAGATTTGTAACATCAGTTTTTTGCGACTTAATATGAATTAAAAACATTTCATATTATTTATTTTCAAATCCTTCATACAAAATGTAAATGTGATTGCAATAAAATGAGAGTTAATTTGTTACATTTCTTTTTTCAGTTAGTTTTACTTCTTACCTGAAGTCCGAAAATCTTTTACCTTCTTTTACATAAAAAATGTGGTGTAGATAGTGGGGTGCGGACCATCCTGGATGACATCATCTCAGGGGTGACACCAAATTGAAAAATTGCATATTTACAGAGCATGCACTGCTCAGTCTAACCAAATTTCATAAAGGATAACTGATCACATAAAGTTTTCAAACATGTAACCAATCCAAATGAGTACTCTATTAAAAGCTCAAGGTTGACGCCTTCAGAAATGAGGTAACCCTATAATTAGGTAAGAAAAACACCATTTTGATCATGATTCAATGCTGATCGAAGTGTTAGATAACTTTGGTAAGTGACAAGAAGCTATATTTATCTAAATTTTGAGAAATAAAGCATTCCATTGATACCAAGTACAATGTGTACGGCAATTCTAAGTACATAAATCAAATTGGTAAAAATAAACATATTTTAAAATGACTATTTACCCATTTATATGGTTAAATAAATAATATTAAACAAAATTTTCTCATATCTTTTAATAATTAATAAGAAAAGGAAAGTTTTAAATAAAGTAAATTTAATGTAAAATGAACTATAACTTTATGTTGTTACAGTTCTTAAATACATTTACTTCCTGAGCTTCAATTAATTTGTTTTTGTTCTTGTCATTGTTATACTCTGGACTTATTTTTATTAAAAAGAAATCCATCTTGGAAGTCCGAGAAAAGGGGGGGGGTGGTGGGGGTGGTGACACCATGAGTTTACCGCAGGGCTGACACTAACCCTAGCTACGGCTGACACTAACTCTAGCTACGTCACTGCATGTAAATATAATGAATATTTCATCTCCCCCTGGGCATAAATGAAATAAATTTCAGTTCTTAACCACACAAAATAATTCTGTTTACTTAGCATGTTTTGAAGGACAGTACAGGATTTGGCCGGGGGGGGGGGGGGGGTGTTGCGTGATTAGCTGTTTTTTCCTTTATATTACTGTAAATTCTATTTAGAGATGTATACATCATAATTTACTGTAAATCTTGCTTTCTACAAAATTCATAAATAAATTTGTAATGTGTGAATGGATCCTAATTGTTGAACTTGTGTGAAGATTTGCTGATTGAATGCCACAATTATTTTATGATGACAGTTTATTTAGAAGCTGTTTGTGTGGAATATCTAGAGTGAGAATCTATACAATCCTCACTGTTACTTGATTCATGTATATTAATTTGTACACCTTGCTTCATATGTACTTTTCTGATTAATGTTTGGCCTGGTGCAAGGATGATTCACCATATGTCATACATTTTAAAATACTTTTCGGACTCTACATGCTAAATTCATGAGTGCATGAGGAACTCCCTATCATTATCATTCAGCTGATACTTAACACTGTTTATGAAAAGTTTATCTGAATTTCAACATGAAATTGGCTTTATATATAATAAAGATAATTTATATAAATTATATGTGATTTTATGTTGATATTTGGCTTTAATACATCCATCTAAAACATCCTCAGAAACATTAGTGCCATTCTTCCAGGTATCAGAGAAATTATTTCAGGTATGATTTGACCAAGGAAAGACCATTTAGTCTTACATTTGGAGTTGGATAAAATCAACCAAAGCATTTGATTTAGTATTCTCTTTCTTACCTTAGTACTAAACATTGCAACATTAGGTCACCGTCTGAAGCAACTATCCCCTGCCGTGGTGCTAGATTATTCCGAGCACGGATCCATCTAGCAAGCCACCTAGGAGCTCACCGTAAGCCAACCTCCCACTAACCTTTGGATGACCAAGATTTTACAAGATTTTAAATTATATTTTTATTTTTCCAAAATGTAATAAGTCTTCAAAATTAATTTCTGGACTGCATACATTTTGATTTCAGCTTTGTTTAATGTCAATATATTCAGTATCCGAATTAGAATAAAATAAGACATCGAGGTTGGACTTGTGCTTGAAATTAGCAAAAACGAAAAATGAATATTTCATAAAGCGCTACAATCCGAGTGTTGTTAAAGTTGAAATAAAACATCCAGTCCCTCCCCCATTCGTGGTTTTATTAGCAATTGTGTGCAGGCCATTTTTCCAACAGAATGTAATTGACAAATTTTTGTGCATTCCCTCAAATCCAAAACATTTCTGTTTATGGTCACATGAACTTTGTAGCTAGTCTGGTTGGTATACCGGTAGCATACAATGTGTGGGACAGAAATGATTAATCTAAAAAAATAGGTTCAGCAGGTTGCCTGCATTCCATAAAAGTGTGCTGCTAAGAGTCCCCAATTTATTTGATGATTTAAAAACTAAATTTTGTTCAAGATCTGTCACTTTATAAAAGACACGATGGTACAACAGAACAACACATGATTATTTCAACATTTATAAAATTAAAAAGAAACGGATGAGGAATATTTTTTTCTATTTATTAACTTCCATGTTTTAAAAAATCAATTCTACATTAACATAATGTTCATGAATTGGACAAATCAGCATGAATAAATTAAAACAAGTTCTGCAGTAAACTGCTGCATTAGGCTGTAATTCTCTCTCAATGTACAATTTTTTGCATATTTATTTTTTATGAGAGAATCTCCACCAATGAAAAAGCACAATTTTCTTTTACTTTCAAGCATCTGGGAGTTAGGGATAGCAACATGAGCAAATTGATTGTAGTACAAATTGGTTTCTAATTTTGATCTGACACATCATTAAAACATTAAAGACAAAAATACAAACCCTATAAAAGTAACTTATGTGTTTTAGTACACTATCACAACCGATAAAAGAATGCCATGAACTTCATCTTTTTTAAATATATCAAAAAAGTTCTATATATTTTATTTAGTAATATTTTTTGCAATTAAATTATCCTCCCAAATTTTTCAAAATTTTATGTCTTCACCAAAATACTATAACTATAAAGGATTATTAAAAAAAAAAGGTATGTAAATATAATTTCATATATGATGAAAAATTAATAAAAATTTTCTGCGAACAAAAACACGGGCTGATATCAATTTTCCCAGACATATAAAATCCATTCCAACGTCATATCATTTTAAAAATTCTGTATGTATTATGAGCACATCAGTTAAATAACTGTATAGACATCTGCCATTACTGTTGCCTTAATTTAAAAATTATTCTAAATCTTGATGCTGTTTTCTGGTATAAACTAGTGTCGATACCAAGGGGGATTGTGCTCTGGAAGAAACTCTTCCTCTATTTAAATCATTTCCCAGATGGAAGCCGTTACATAACTCCAGTATAATAAATGAGGTAAATATTCACTTAAAAAGTAGGATTTCATAAGAAACAAATAGATGCTTGGTTAAGTAACAGAAACAAGACACTGGATGGGATTTCATAGATCCAACAACAAAATCTCATTGAACAAATTATTGTTGGCTGATTGTATTGATGGGAAATTTCTTACATTTTATGTTACAAATAATCAGAAATCAAAAAATTATAGCAGAATTAAAATAATTCACCATAGAAAAAACCTTTGCTATACAGATTAACTATGTACATTCTTACAACTTATTTATACACAACACATCCTTAGAAACCCGTAACATGAATTGCATGAATACACCAAATTGATTGCTAGTAATTATTGGTTAAATTATGTTTGCCTTTACACTGTAACACACCTCAAATTCACACAGCCATTCAGCAGCACACAAACACAGCCAGTCATACTTGGTCTCATGTTCAACCATTCAAACTGTTCTTTCTCACAGCCCAACCATTCACACTCTTCTTTCTCACAGCCCAATCAACATAATGATGAAACTGATGGCGATGATGATTGTTGCTGAGTCACTGAGGTATGTTATACAGGATGGTCCCACTTCACCAACCCTTTTCAACATTTTGTTGCACAACATGGTTGATGGGTACCATCCTTGCCCTACTTGCTAAGCAGAGGGTTATACAAATATAATTCTTGTAAATAGATTTCCACTGCGTTAAATGATAACAAAACAAAAAGCAATTTTGGTCTTCCTCTTGTGGGGACAAAAATCACTACATCTATCTCATTGTAAAACAAGGGACAAAACAAACTAATAAAGGGATATAATTTAATAACAAACATAGTAAAATAAATAAATTCGCTCTTGCTATGAAATGGATCCACAGAACCTTAGTTTTTTTTTAAAATGACATTTTTTATTTGTAAGTTCTTCAATGATCAAAACCTTGAAATTGGAAAAACACCAAGTAACAGTTCTAAACAAAAATCACAACTCAAAGTATACAGCTGACTTTCAGGAACAATAGTTTAGCTTATCAAAAGTCACACTCACAATGAGACACAGAAAAGATTTGTCATTTGTAACTTCACTAACTCCTTAACTCACAACCCTAGTGATACAAGGGAAAGATTTGTCTTTAGGTCTAAATTATAATTTTTTCATTGATTGTTGAACTCTTTCAATTCACAACTGTTTGTTAAGCATTTTGACAAAACTCACCCCAAAAATTAAAATAAAGATATTGATTTCATTGTTTGGACAATGGTGAAATTTATTTTATTTCTCAAAAAATTAGTTTCTTCTCTACAGAACTAATCAGCTTGAGAACAAGTCCAGCTAAAACATTGGTAGTTGATTGTCAGCATGGGGATCAATGCTTTCCAGTAATACATTTTGTTGAATTAGAGAGAGAAAAAAAAAAGAATTATTTGAAAGACTTTCCCCAGTGCTCAATGTTGACTGCATGTAAGGTACCATGTCATACAAGGGTTAACAAAGAAAGACTAACACAAAATAAGGCATTAAGGGCACAGGTGGTTTTGCATCAGCTGAAACAAGTTAGTTTTGGGTGTTGTAATGGAGGTGGGGTCAAATACTATCCACCTCATTCATCAGGAGTCTGTCTATGTTTGGGTTGACATTCAATACATCAAAAGAGAATTTAGATCTTTCACTAACTAAAATATAAACCTTCTCAGATCAAAATTAACATAATTTTAACCCATTTTTGTAGCTGAACAACAATGATGAAGCGTTTGTTCACCTTTTTTTTTACTTGGATGTTTAGTTGGTTTTTTTTTAAATGATTAAAATGAAAGATGTAAACATCCTAATGACATCTGATAGATATAAAAAAAAGTAACATCTTGAGGATTGGTATGTATCTATAGAAGATCATTTGAAATCCATCCCTCTCATAATGCCTCAATGGAAAGCTGTGGATTGGGTGCCCTCCCCCTGGCCAGATATTTCCATAGGATCAAAGTGTCATGTGTTATGAGCTGGAATGGTACTTGGTGGGACATTGTAATCTGAAATGGATCTTCCAGGAGAAGCCAAAGCCAATCTGCTTCCTTCCTGGCTTGGTCTCCCCCTGTTTGCCAGTGCAGCCTTGTCTCCCCTTGAATGTGTTTTACAATCTGTTGATGAGTTAATAATCTTTTTATATCTAAATCAATCTCAGGTATATTTTTCAATACAGTAAATTACTTAAAATGTATTTAAAAATGTATTTCTTGATTTGAGTGACTTAGATAACCTATTAAAACTATCGACAATAACTCACTAGGACAAGAGGGTTGGGGACGCTGTGGAGGACAACTCTGTATAGCAAGGTCTTCACAAGCACAACTGCTGCAGTCTG